CGAGCTGCTGGGATTACAGGCATGGGCCACCATGCCCAGCTACCAGGGTATTTAAAAAAGAAAGAGAACTTGTAAGTATAAAAAAACTTGAAAATACTTTAAACATGACTGATATTATAGTAAATACCAAAGTATTAATTTTCCAGAGAATAATAACAGATTGTTATTGTTCAATAATAGAACAAAACAGATGTAATAAAGTGGGAAATTTTTTCATCAGTGTTCAGAATTTATCCATCAGAATATCAATATTCAAGAAAAGATTTACAAATACAATGAATGTGGCAAAACTTTTAACCAGTCCTTGGAACTTAACATCAGACGATTCATATTAGGGAAAATACATACAGGAGTGATAAATGTAGAATTGTCTTTAATAATCATTAAATCTAARTAGACATAATGCACACTGGAAAGAAACCTTAGAAAAGTAAAGAGTGTAGCAAATCCTTTCATCTGTCCTCATACTTTACTCAATGTCAAAGAATCTATACTGAAGATAACACCCTACAAATGTATATTATATGGCAAATCCTTTGCTCATCCCTATATCTTATTATGTATCAGATAGTTCACACCAGAGAGGAAACTTGCAAATGCAAAGAAAGTAGCAAAGTCTTTTAAACTTGCTCAAATCTTACTCAATGTCAAAAAATTCATTTTKGGGGAAACACTATAAATATAAATAATGTGGGAAAGGCTTTAATCAATTCTCAATCCTTTTCCCAGATCATAGTTTGACAAGAAACTCTATAAATGTAAAGATTGTAGCAAAGCCTTTAACATATGCTCAAACCTTACTTGACATAAAAAATTGATCCTGGACACATATACTACACATGTAATAATGACTAAGGAAAGATCTGTGTTCAAAATATGCATCAGTTTATATATATGRCAAAGAACCTGCAGGTTAAATAAATGTTAAGAAAGTATTTAATTATCAAGTATAAATATCAAAAGATTCATAGTAGAATACAGTAAGGACCTAATGCTTTCAGAAATGATAAATCAGAGTAATTATTAAAGTGAAATAATCCAAAGTCAAAACATTTGGATAATTTATTTGTATGTATCAAAGGAGCAAAGATATTGTCTTTCAATAAATATAATTACTGTAATTATATTACACTCACTGTAAAAAAAATTCTTTTCACACAGAGAAGTTTTAATGAAATGAGGACATGCTTTTGTAATAACATCAAGAAAAAAAGCAGGACATAAAATTACAAGATACCACCAGGTGCAGTGGCCCACAACTATAATCCCAGTGACTGGAGAGGCTGAGTCAGGAGGATCATAAGTTCAAAACCAGCCTCAGCAACTTAGTGAGGTCCTGAGAAACTTAACGAGACCTCCCCAATATCAAAATTAAAAAAAATAAAAAGGGCTGAAGATGTGGCTCCGTGGTTAAATGCCCCGGGTTAGGCTCTGGTATCTAAATAAATAAATAATCCCAACCACTTTTTAAAATTTCTTAGAGTGAGGGAAATATAAAAAATATTTGTTGTGGTAAGATTATTATTAATTATTATTCTCTTTTTATACTGTTTTATACCACTTATTTATTTCTGCAATTAGAGTATAATGCTTACAGTCAGAAAAGGGATTTTTTAAAAAGAAAGCATCATGTTGGAAAGTATAACCTAACTAGTGAGAACTACATAAGATAAAAACATGGATTCTAAAGGAATATCTAAGGCCTCTGTGGAATGGACTGTGTGATCTGGTTGCACAAACAGGGTTTTGGCTTACTTCCTATCCTTTCCTGAATTTCAGGTTGCTGTAAAGTTGAACTATAGACAGGCAGAGCATTAAGGTTTATATGTATTTAAAGGAGAAGAGAGGACACAGAAAGAGGGAAAACAGAAAAAAGGGTAGATTCTGAGCCAATGCTTTTAGACAAGTGTCTAAGGATTTTTTTTTCATTAATTAGTTTTTTGAAATTTAGAAGTCACAGATGGTGATAATTGTCACTAAGTCACCCAGGCTGATTTATCAGTGGATAAGCATTAAAAACAAATTAACCTCTTTAGAGACCAGGATATTTTCTACTAACAATCAACTCTGTGCTAAAACTGAAAGAGCTCAATTAAGAATGTGAAGGGGGCGGGTAGGAAATGATAGTAGAATGAATCCGACATTATTATCCTTTGTGTAATCTAATACGATTACATGACCTGCATAACTCTACATCATGAACAGCCAGAAGAATGAGAAGTTTATATTCCAAAAATTCATTCTACTGTCACATATAACCAATTAGAACACATAAAAATATACTTAAAAAAAGAATATGAAAAGGTAAAAACTGGGAAAGCATAGAAGGAACCTAAGCAAATAAGTGTCTGAGTATAGGATGGTTATATTTCAGAAAGGGTACTGAATGCTTTTATCAATTTTCTATTCTAATTTTTTAAAATTATGATGAAATATTTTTCTATGAAATAGAAATATCTTTTATTTTCTACTCTAATTTTGATTGAAATCATTAATATGAGGGTTACATAGGTTACCTTTTGATTTTACAACACATGATGATATTCATTCATCTATGTATACACACAGCCCCTAACCATATTACCTGTCCACATCACCTCATGCAGTCTCAGCGCATATGATTTTACRAATAGATGCTTTACTTCTCAACACTTCTGAAAATCATTTTTAAATTTTTCTCTCTGTTTCCCAAACACCACATGCTATGAAAAGACCTTAACAATACCTTAAAGTCATTTGAGGCAAGATAGGCAAGATCAAATCTGCCCTCATCCAGCATTAGTGGCATTAGATAGCATTTTCAATAGATTCCTAAGGCCCTACCCAAACACAATATATTATATTGTTAGAAACACCCTTTGAAATATTATTAGCCCGATTTTATATAAGAAGAAACAGAGGTCCTAAGAAATTAATTTGCTAAACATCACATTAGTAATTAAGGTAGAGGCAAGGCCTAGAACTTGAGATTCTTTAACTCTCAATCCTGTATTTATTTCCACTGCTTCATGCTACAGAGTTATTGATAGATTAATCCTGCACCAAAGTATGTACCCCGAAAGGCCACATACAAGTTCAACTGTACTTCTGTACAGTTTGGAAGAGTGGAAAATTATTCCAGCAGAAGGAAAAATTGGTTGGTGGGAGGTTATGGCTGATGTTCACTTTCACTTTGGTGCTTGTTCCTACATCTTCATCTTCATCCACTAGAATGCATTCCCCTGCTCTCCACAAATCCATTTTCAGCATTTGTTCTTCATGCTGTAAGCAAATGCCCTCCCCTAAAGAAGTCCACGAGAAACTTGAGCCACTTTTGCTATTCTTGACTCCATAGCTCAATTTAACTTTAATAGYTTGCGAATGTTATGGGGTGTACTTAGTCTCAAATTTCTTGGGTTTTTTTTTCTAAATCTAATAGGTCATATATGTATGTTTTAGCTCCCCAGCTAGATGTTAAGCATGATCTATTTCTACATCCTAGATTTTTCCCTTTTAATGATCTTCCTCATTTCTCCTAACTGCCTAATTCAAGATATTTATTTAACAAATGCTTACCAAACAACTGAGAACCTACAATAGCACACCTTGATTTGTAATTAGGATATAAGAGATATAGTGCTACAAACAAAGAACTTACTTCAGGTGAATATATGGCCCTCAGTTTTCTCATCTTAAAATGAGTATAGGAGCAAGAAGTAGGTGGAAAATGTGAGTTTCATGATCTCTAAGAGGCTATGAATACTTAAATATTATTTTCATTGGGGTGGATCACAATCTACTTTGTTCCATTAAGGATAAGATGTCAAAAAGAACAATATTAAAGGCCAAACAAATATAGAGACCAAATGACTAATCCCCTAGAGGCAGAAGCAAGCCAATATGCTGGGGAAATCAATAAAGCAAAGGAAAACCAGGGAGAGTATAAATGTCCTGAGCAAGGCTAGAAATGTGAATCCTGCTTGAGAGGGATGTGAAGGGGTACAATGTAAAAGGGAACAGCATAATAACTAAAAAATTTGCATTAGTGGTTAGGTAAATATAGCATAATGTTGTGCTTTTTTTTCCCTTTAAATTTGCACTTCTGTTTACTACCAAAGCTTTAAATCAAATGCTAAGAATATCAGCATTGACTGCTTATGTTATAATAAAAAATTAGATCCATACTAAAAAAACCTTTGTGGAAATAAAACCAGAAATTCCTGATATCAAAATAGGGATTAAAACTATCAACATTTGATCATTAACAACCTATTTTCCTATATCCCCCACCCTTTTTTTCCTTTTGGTAAGGTGAGAAATACGTTAAATTTAATCAGGATATTTTTACTGCATCTATTTAATTTTATTAATAATTTTAATATTCTAAGTAATATTGTACCTGAGTCATTAAAATTGGGCTTTAGCTAACAGATCATGGCATTACATGGGGTTCTATGCATGATTCCCTGAATAAGCTTCCTTGGATGGGATGAGCCTATAGCACACAGTGAACCAAAATCTCTGTGGTATTAGGGTTTTATTTGAATTGTTATGGTAGAAACTCAAATTCAGCTTAAAACTTCAAAGGAAAAAAAAAAAAACCTCTGTAGAAACAAAAAATCTCTAAAATTAAAAAAAAAGTTTGAATCAAATAACAGCTCTCAGATTATCAGATGAAAAGTTTTTAGCTGGTATCCAAAATTGAAGTGACACTTTAAAAGATTAGATCAATAGGAGTACATGACTGATAAAAGGCCAGGAAAATTCCATTTTAAAAAGAGCAAACGCTTAAAGGGATTTGATATTCAAGAGCCATTTTTATGAATCTCCTGAAAAAGTTTTGATACTAAAACTGCTGAGAAGAAACTTACTATTAATCCATGTTATACAACTTTGAATCCAGTTTGCCCTTAACCTTCTACCCTATAGAAAGGGCTAAATTTAACTGAGAACTATAAATAAATTTTGTAAGGAAAAAAACTGTGTGCCTTTATGTGTGTTTGTACTAAAAACAAACATACCTGCTTCATCATAGGATACAGTCAATTTTTCTAACATTTCTCGATCAATTGACAGAATCTGCTGTTCAAGGATGGTCTGGTAAGACAATACACTGTTTTCTTTGTCTTTCTCGTAGTCCTGAAGATGTTGTTTTAGGGCCTCTGGGAGCCGAGATTTTACATATTCAGCTGCAGTCTGCAGATAAAACAGAGAACCCCATTAGTACCTCCAGTCCAAGGTTCTTCATTTACCCTCAGGTCCTTTAGAGAGAACTCAAAAGCACTGTGGATCCACTCTCCAAGTAAGCATGTCCTTGTCATTGTGACTTCAGATTACACTGCACCCAGTAAGGTGAGTCTTCAAGCAAACAGAATCTTAGGTCTTTAAATCATTTCTACCAGGTTTAAAGGTATAAAAGATGATAGATTTGGTTTGATATTCACAAGAATTAGCAGTCAGAATTTCAATTATTCCATTGAAATTCCAAAGGCCCATGGTAATAATTTTGCTGGATATAAATTTTCTTGAAGAAGATGGTCACACAACTCAGCAGTGAGCCCTACCCTGTCACAGCACCCGCGTCCCTACTTGTTTTGCTATTCTCAACTCATTAATGCTGACACAGGAGCTTTTGTGAACTGAGTAGAAAGGAGAACCTCTGCTAAGGTTTATAGAAAAATAATAGGATAAATTAAAAAAGAAGAGATCTAAGATTCCCCTTAACCTGAAAAGAAAGAACTTGTATATGTATGTATGTATGTATGTATGTATACACACACACACACAAAAAAAAAAAAAACACACACACATATGTGTATATTTTTTTTCTTAAATTTTTTTGGTTGTTCATTTGCTTCTAGATAATAACTGTAAAAAATACTCCCAACTGGAAACATCTGAAATTATATACAGTGATTTTCAATCAAGGAAACATGTTCCACTTGGGAGTTAGAAGGAAAACAAGTGTATTTTGAAAAAGGCCTTCCCAAGGAGTCTTCTGGTGGGCTGAGATGGTAGCATACTCTCTCCCTCCCAGTTGAGAATCACTGTGAAAACAGTGATTATGGGAGAAATTAAATGACAGAAGTTTATGGGAGAAATTAAATGACAGAATGGCATGTATGAATCAGGGGAATTCTTAAATTCTTATAATATACCTCGAGAATATTAGGTGTTTGGCATCTCCTTGTAGTATAGCTCTGCTTCACCTGCACAGTGCCTAAAGTTGAGAAACCAACAAATGAAGGTTTACATATATATATATGGTTTAAGATTATGTTCATAACCACTAAAAAACTTTTCAAAGAAGCTGCAAAAAGATTCCTGCTGGGGTATGGGCCTAGAATACAGCAAAGACTCAGCTACATAGTTTGTTTGTTTGTTTTTTTTAAAAAGTCCTATGCAGCTATTAATTGTATAATTTAAAATATGTGTGCGATRTAAAGAAATGAAAACATACCTCATATTCATGGATCAGAAGAATTAATATTGTTAAAATGCTATACTATAAAAATGATTTATAGATTCAATGCAATCCTTATCAAAGTGCTAATAACATTCTTCACAAAAATAAAAAAAAATAAAAAAATTCATATGGAGCCACAAAATAAAAAACAAACAAACAAAAAACCCTCAAGTAGCCAAAGCAACCCTGAGCAAAAAGAACAAAGCTAGGGGAATCACAGTGCCTGACTTCAAAATATACTATAAAACTATAGTGACCAAAACAGCAYGGTATTGGCATAAAAACAGACAAACAAACAGAATAGAGAGCCCAGAAATAAATGAATGCATTCACAGSAAACTGATTTTCAACAAAGCCACCAAGAACACAATGAAGAAAAGAACATTTTATTCAATAAGTGATGCTGGGAAAACTGAATATCTATACGCAAAAGGATGAAATTAGATTTTTATCTAAATCAAATAAAAACAAAACCTCAATGAGATACTACCAAATTCCAGTTAGAATGGCAATTATGAAGAGACAAATGAGAGTAAGTGTTGGTAAGGATACAGAGATAAAGGAACCTTCATACACTATTGTGAAAGTAAATTAGTASAGTCATTACAGAAAACAGTATGGAGGTTCCTCAAAAAACTAAAAATAGAATTTTGCCAGGTGTAGTGGCTGATGCCTGAAATCCTCACTTGGGAGGCTGAAGTAGAAAAAAGAATTACCTACCATATGATCATTCTCACTACTGTGTATATAACCATAGGAAATCAAATCAGTATACCAAGGAGATACCTATACTTTCATATTTATTGAAGTACAATTCATAATAGCTAAGATACAGAGTTGAATTACATGTCCATTAATGGATTTATATATAATGGGTAATGTTGTACATATGCACAGTAAAATACTATTCAGTCATAAAAGAAGAATGACATTCAGCCATTTTTTACATTGATGGACCTGAAGAACATTATGTTAAGTGATATAAGCCAGGCACAAAAAGATTTTTTAAAAAGTAATAAAATGTTACAAAGTTGGTTTTGTAGAAGTGGAGAGTATAATGGTGGTTACCAGAGTCTGATGTAGTTGGGGTGGGTGAATGTTAAAGGCTAAAATAATTATAGTTAGGAAGAATAAACTTCAAAGATTTATTGACTAGTTAATAATAATACATTATATTTATGAAAAATGTAAGCACAGGGAGTATCATGYGCTATCAAATGGTAACTACATGAGGTAATGCATTTGCCAATAAGCTGGATTTCACCAATCATAATATATATATATCCTTCAAATCATCATGTTGTCCAAGGTAAATTTATATAATGTTATCTGTCAATTAAAAGATTAATAAAATACATGTGAGTTACACAAACACACACACACGCACATTCTCTCACACACACACAACATGTTCATCAACAGAGGTTCAATTTTTTTTAAATTATAGAATAGTATGGTATATATCCATTGGAAAATATGAGACAGGACTATACCTACTGACCAGGAGAATATCAATGATGTATTGTTGAGGTTAAAAAACAAAGCTGCAGTTGGGTACAGTGGCCCAGGCCTGTAATTCCATCTACTTGGAAGGTTGACACAGGAAGAKCACAAGTTTGAAGCCAACCTCAGCAATTYAGTGAGACCCTATTTCAAAATAAAAAATAAAAGGGCTGGGGATATGGCTCAGTGGTAGAGTGCCCCTGGGTTCAGTTCCAAGTGATGATGATGATGATGATGATGATGACGAYGAYAATGACGATGATCATGATGCTAACCATGATGATGATAATAAAAATTTAAAAAATTAAACAAACAAAATTACAAAATATCAGGAATAACATATTCTTTTAATGCAAAGCATACATATGTGTATATATTGTGTTTAGTATTATCATACATACATAGAAAGAGAGAGCATACTCCAGTTGTGGAACATACTTTTTTGTTGTTCTAATTAGTTATACATGACAGCAGAATGTATTTCAACTCTTTGTATACAAATGGAACACAACTTTTCATTTCTCTGGTTGTATACAATACAGAGTCACACTATTCATGTAATCATACATGTACATAGGGTAATAATGTCTGTCTCATTCCACTATCTTTCCCACCCCCTTACCCCCTGCCTCCCCTCACTTCCCTCTACCCAGTCCAAAGTTCCCTGGCAGATACTTTTTCCTTTCCATGTTTCAGTATTGTTTCCATGTTCTTACTATTGTAATTTTAAACAATTATCTTTTCAAAGTATCTTTCTTTGTGACCTTCAAGGTTTTCCTTTGGAATGTTAGTCCAATTTAGGATGAAATGAATTTTTCCAGAACAAATGACAACTGACTTCTCAGAAAATGCACACTGGGAAGTGGTGGGGAAAAATTATATTTCACTCCTTGCAGAGTCACTAAACATAGCATACAACACTTTTTACTTCCAGATTTATACTGAGATTCCCTAAGTCAGATACTGATGAAATTAGAACTTTAAAATATCACCAAATATTGTTCAAATTCTCCGCCAGCCAGCTAGTTGCAGAACAAATAAAGTTATCTCATAAAATGTAAATGAATTCAGCATATTGGTATAACATATTTACTCCTAGAGTTTAATAAAAATTTTCTCTTGACACTGGAAAACAATATTTTAGCATTATAGAATAAYCATTTTAAAATTCACACTATACCTTACTATTCAGTGTAACATCTCTCTTTAGTAATTTCTTCCCATGGGATACCTACAAGGTATAGGAAGTAGTTCAATAACGTATTATATTTGAAAAATATTGGTGTATTTTATGTTACTGAAAGCACACCATCTATTTCCTCCCAATTGTGTCTATTGATTGCATTTGAAATGAAATTCACTTTCTTAGTTACAATTGTGATATAGGTCTAGGAACAGTGCCTGCATCTTTTACTATACTGGAGTTATATTTTGGCACTTCATTTCTAAAACAGTATAACTTCACATATAGTTTTTTTTCTATTGGGAAAGATTCTTAATAGAAAGAAGAAAACAACTCTAGAAAAATATAGATTCTGTTAAGATATTTCAAAAAATCCCCTTTATACTAAAGTGATACTGTAAATATATTCAAATGTCACATGCTTCCCTCTTGGTATGTTCTTTCATGGTGGGAAGAGAGAACAAGCAAGATCTCTGGTGTGTTTGCTTTTCTTTTTTTTTCTTTTATAATTGCTTTTATTTTTCAAATACATGACAGTGGAATGCATCAAAATTCTTATTACACATATAGAACAGAATTTTTCATATCTCCGTTTGTATATAAAGTATGTTCACACCAATTCATGTCTTCATACATGTACTTAGGATAATAATGTCCATCACATTCCACTATCATTGCTAACCCCCTGCCCCCTCCCTTCCCCTCCCACCCCTCTGCCCTATCTAGAGTTATCTATTCCTCCTAGGCTCCCTCTCCCTACCCCACTATGAGTCAGTCACCTTATATTAGAAAAAACATTCAGCATTTGTTTTGGGATTAGCTAACTTCACTTAGCATTATCTTCTCCAACTCCATCCATTTACCTGCAAATGCCGTGATTTTATTCTATTTAATTGCTGAGTAATATTCCATTGTATATATATATATGCCACATTTAATCCATTCATCTACTGAAGGGCATCTAGGTTGGTTTCACAATTTAGCTATTGTGAATTGTGTTGCTATAAACATTGATGTGGCTGTGTACCTGTAGTATGCTGTTTT